GGGAAAGAGAAGTTAGTTTGGCAACAAGGTTAGGTAGTAACCAGAATTCTGTATTTGCTTCTCTGTGCGTTCAGAAAATTTCTTGCAGAACACACTTTCACATCAGTTTCATTAGTTTGGATTACCTTTGAAAGTAACATGTTTGAAATGATGTCTGTGAGTGTGAACTTCTTCCTGTCTTTCAAGGAATGGTAACATATATCAACTTTTCAAATTACATGGGAACTGTTTTTGCTATAAACTCTTAATAAGACTCTTTTTAACATGCTATCCAAAAGGTTGGCATTATTAGTTGTAAGCCTAGTGTTTTTAATTTGTGAAGCTATATGTGATTAAGTTCAGTTTGACTGATGTAAGCATCTTGTGATGTAAATGATAAATTATTTTTGAAAGCAAATATTTCATAGACTTGACTAAGCCAGCTAAACTTTGCTCCTTTGCAAAACTAAGTGAAAAGATTCATTCAGGCCCCAAAAGTAACAAGTACTTCTGCAGAAGTATCTTGGGTTTTATGGCTTTTGCAGTTTTTACGCAATCCCATTGTATGCATTGCAGGATTTAGATACTCTACCTGTACTAGGAGCTAAAGATTTATTTTGCAGTCTCTTACATGTTGATTTCTGTCTGACTCTGCCTCACAGATGTACCAGTCTTTTTAATACTGCAGATGTACTTCTTGTCAGAATCTATGGATGTTTCTTTCCACAGGTATGAACCTCAGACTGATATTCCTCCTGATGTGGAGACAGAGAAGGACCGGGTTTTTTTCATTAAGGCTGTCGCTCAGTTTATGGTAGGTCTGGTTTAAGCACACTGACATAATTCTTCAATATTAGACTTAATGCTTTATCTCTTAACTCCTTGTAATTTCCTTGCCATGGGTGGCTGGTATTGTATACATACAGTACACGTATTGTATTATAGTGCTGCATGTCAACTGCAGATCATCTTTGTTTTCTCTCTAAAATGACCATATACAAGCTATAAAATTGACCTGGATATTCTGCTAAGGATTAAAAAATAGTGAGCAGATGAAACAGGGGAGAGAGTGGTTTGTTCTTGAACCTTATTGATATTACAGCTTCAAAACTTGCAGTGATGCAGGTGTAAATGTATACATATTAATGTAGGTAGCTGCATTTCAGTCATAGTAGTAAAGCCAGATAGAAGAGTTCTTACTTGGATCATAAGCCCCTTTGGGCTTAGGGGAATCTTTTTGGTTTGTGTTTGCATAGCACCAAACTGAGTGGAGACATTGTCCATGACTTGAAGCCCTGTGGTAAGAGCTGTTATAAATTTGAACTGGCCAGGGTGTAGTGTTACTGAAATTGTGTAGTTATGTGTATGTCTTTGCAGAATTGGGATCTAAACATCTGACACTATAAAACAATATTCATCCTTATCACTCTCAGTTTGAAATATATATATGTGTGTGTATGTGTGTATATATAGAGAGAGACAGATATACATTTTATATATATAGATAGATAGATAGTGGAAGATTCAGCTATAGATATGAAATGATTTGAAACCCTTTAAATGGGTTCTGAAGAGACCCTGTCATATCTATTACTAACTTCAGATACCTGACCCTTTTGTATACACTAGTGTAGCCATAGCCTCTACTGATTTGTTCAGTTTGATAGAAAATTATACGCTGGTGTTCTGTTGTATGAGCCTTCTCCCTTACTCTAAGGCATGTGTTTCCCAGATCAAATCTTTTACCAGCTTCGTCTTTGTTAAGGAGCTGTTACTGTACTGAACTTTTTATCATGAGTCCTGCTGTTAGAGAGGTGTTAGAATGAAGGCTGAAGTTGAAAAGATCAAGGACCGGATAATTCACTTAAAACAGAAGTACAAAAGGCTTTTAGCACTTCAGGGAGAAATGGAAATCCTAATAGTAAAAATCTTCCAGCTTCCCAAGTGTAATGCTTTTGATCTTATATATATTTAAAAAAAATCCTGGATATTTACTATTTTCTATTATTGTAGAAAAATAAAAATATAATATTATAATATGTGATATTTTTATAAGGATTGGTTCCATTAAGATTGGATACACAGAAGTATTGCAACTTCTCATAGACTTTTTTTAAAGCATGAGCATACTTGAATTGGTCCATTAACTTTTTTTAGTCCGATGGAATAAGATAACGTTGTTCACGTTACCTGTTATGTTGATGCAGCACGAACCTTTGTTGTAATGACAGATTTGCGTAGCACTATTGATCAGATAGACTAGACTGAATAGGGCTACAGGTGTGTCAGGAGACAATGGGAATCCTTATGCTAAAGCCAAAGATTAATTCCTTATAAAGTTTTTCTGAAACTTGTTTTTACGGTATCTTAAAATGACACTCTATCCACGCCAACTTTTGCCTTGAGATTTATGATGGTGTCCACCATAAATTATCTTAATTCCTAATTTTATTGTGTTGAAATATCATGCATTTCTGTATATACCACAATGCACTTTTCAGCCTTGGAGCATCGTAAGATGTGATTGACAGATCTATTTTTTTAGAGAGATTTCCCCCCTCCAAGTCAAGCCTATTTTAAAAGGACAAGGATGGAATCAGAAATAATAATAGTAATACATCATTTTTCTTGTAATTGTTGATTTCATGCAAGATATCCCTAGAGGCTTTGAAGAATTATATGATATGATGCAGAAGATGAAACAAGTGGAAATTTCTTTACTCATCCTGTACTTCAAGTCTCAGTTAATATTACAAGATAATAAGGGGATTATTGTAGTTCTTCAATAACCAGACTGTCCAGCATGGAGTTTTTTTCTTTCTTTTCAGAATAAGAAAATCTTTTAGACATTTCCATAATAGTTTGTCGTCCATGAAACCCACAATTATCTTCTCCAATAGCTAATAGCTTTTTGCCTCTATAGCCAGATGTGACATTTAATGGAGATAGATTTACCTCAAAAGCAAATATTGGGGGTAGGTTAATCATCATGAAATATAATTAGAGTATCTATCTCCTTTACTGACTGAGGAGTAAAAATATATTAAGTTTTTACTCACATGGTGCATTTTCCTATGCCACTGGGCTTAAATATTTCTAATCTAATTAATATTTCTAATAGTTCAAGACTGCTATAATATTTCTAAGAGTTCAAGACTGTTTCATATCTGAGACAATAGTTTCTGCCCTTCTATTTTCTCTAATGATTCAAGGTCAGATCCAAAACCAGACTTAGGTCCTTAAGCATAAAATGGGAATCCAAAATGTGCTCATGTAAGTGGGTAGCTAATCCTGTAGTGCTGGAACTTACCAAATGCCTCTTTTTTGGACCTAGAAGTTCCAGAAGTGTCTGCTGACTTTTTTCATCATTCGCCTACCTAGAACTGCCCCTGCCTGATGGCTCAACACCTGGCTCCTACTTGTGCCCACTGGGATCCAAAGTTGAGACAGTGTTATATAAAGTCTCTTGAGAGTTCAGTCTCACAGGGATGCGTTCATGCATGCGTAGTTGGCAAACCAGGACACCAAACTTCTTGCCAAAGTAGCTATATATGCATTCTTTAAAAGCAGTGATGAGAGAGGTGGTGGAAGCAATGTCTGCTAATAACCTCATGCTTCCAAGGAAGCATGGTGGACATGTTCGGTTTCCGTTTCAGCCTGTGGAGTTTTAGAGCCCCTACCTCAACTCTGAGGAGAATATCCCAAGTATTAGGCAAGGCAAAGAAGCAATCCTTGTTCTTCCAGTTGAAACTGTGCCATTGTACAGGAAGGACTGCAAAATGTTTGGGCTAGACAGGTTAAAGGTCAGGACTCCATAACCACATGGCTGGAGCACTCAGCTGGGAGTTGTGGTTCTTTTTCCTTGGGCTGTTTGTGCATTTAGATTACACAGTCATTGGCTACCTATTTGGTCATAAGGACTGGAACTGCTCGCTGCCATAGGCACCCGAATCCTGCTCTTGGTATGGACTCCCTGGGCTGGGTGCTTTACAGGTCTGTGTCAGGGCACCAAAACCAGCAAATGCTCAGCAACAGGGATGGCTGTTGAAACTGAAGAAGGCTCTCTGGGGCTGAACTATTAGTCTTTTCTTTGAATGCCCTAGTGGTAATGTGCAGGGAGCTCTTACATGCCCAAGAATGTGTTAGTAGAGAGCAGTGAAACACAGCACTATATTGCAAAAATATTTAGAAAAAAACAATCTTTTGGGAGCGGAGGGGATAAATTGCAGGGTTTGTTGCTTGTGTGGTGTATCTGTAGTTCTGAGTCCTGGAACTACTCTTGTTGTTTGAATCTTCTTGTCAGAACCTAATGATTTTGAGTGGCTTGGAGAAGAGTAAGATCAGTCTGACCGTTTGTAGTTTTGTCTGTGCTTCATTTGCCTGGTAGGAAGGTAAATCTGCCTGGTACCTCTGACTCCTGTGGTCGTCTGTGACTTGAATTAATCAATTGGTAGAAAGTTTTAACGTAATAGGAAAGATGTGGACACACTGGAGAAGGAAAGACAAAAGTGCTCATCCTACCCTTTGGTTGACAATAACTTGTGCATTAGGTGGTATAGTTTTCCCTCCGACCCCCAACACACGCATGAAACTAGGATGGAACTGTAAAAATCCACCAACCTTCAAGGTTCCCCAGAAAGAGGAACATAACGCAACAACAGTGGCAGTGAAACAGTGCAGCGTTACTCTGTGGATCAGGCAGGAACCATTCACGTTTCTGGCTTTATCGCTGTTTACTGAGGCTCCGTTTTGCATCCAAAATTTGGCTCTGTAGCAATAGTAAGACATCTTAAAATAAAGCAAACTTTCTGCCTATCAATGCCATTCTGCAGTATATTTTAAATTATCTTTTGTATTGCATTGTGGTAATCTGACATTCAGAATAGGTGGGGGTGATTTTTTTTCAATGATACTTTAAAACCACTCAGAGTTGTTATAAAATAGGTGACCAAGGCTCACGTTTTCCAGACATGAAGTTACCTGCTCAAACAAGCAGAAACCTTATGTCAATCTGAAAAATATACATACTAGCATGTGTATTTTTACCTTTTTTGTTTTTCCGAGCAGTCTTTGAGTGGAAAACACTTTTTCCTTTTTATTAGACATTGATTTTTCTCTCTTGGGGTTGAATGAAATTGAAATTGGAATTCCTGTCTTTAACAGCATGCTTTATAATGTGGTGTATTAGGCTCCTTTGTGTAGAAGTTAACAGTTTCTGTCAATTTAATGTCATGCTTCTCTTAAATTTTGTACCTACTGCTTCTACAGGTAGTTTTTTAGATTCCTTCTACTGAAAAAACGTGAAGGAGAGCATATCTGGCTCTCTAATTTGTGCATTGGTTAATGCAAGGTCATACTGGTCAAATTTTTCAAAAGTGACCAGGTATTTTTGTGCCTTAAGTCTTGTACTCCCCCCAGTCAGGGTATACAACATCAGTAATCTTTCTGGAAGTTTTGACTTCACTTTTTAGCTGTCTTCCTCTATTCAGGAAGCACAAGTATAGTCAGTTTTCTCTGCTGTGTTGAAATTTTATGCGAGAAAGAAGTAAGAGTGAAACGCTTCTGAAAAATGGAGAAATCTGACTGTAAAGTCACAAAGCTCGGCAAGATGTGTAAGAAAAGATGTGGGCCTGCAACTTTTCGCTAAGTTGCTTTTTTTCCTTTAAAAGCTGGAGCTAAATCTGTTGTTTGAGATGTGGTCCTTGGTCCTTTGTCCCTTTAGTTTCACAGGGAATTTTCCTGCAGTAAATTACTCGGTGAAGGTCAGTGCAGAGCGGACAAAACTTGTACCACGTTAATGATTGAATCTTGGGCTTTTGTGAAGTTTTACCTGCTGTTTGCTCTTGGCTCTTTGTGGCTGTCCATCTGTAGCATAATCTTGTCAGGAATTTCAAGAACTGCATTTGTGTCCTATCTGCGACAGATGTGTAGTTTCTGCTATGCTAACTTTTCTTTCCCCTTAGTATTTTCAAGTATAAAAAGATAATGTTTTAATTCTTGATGGCATTTCCTTACCCCTTTGCCTGTGCTTTTCAGGCCTGGAAGAAAAGGGATCCAAGCCACTAATGTCAAAGCAGGGAATAATTTGAAAGAAACAATAAAATATCATTCTGCAGGTACTCCTGGAAAAGAAGATAGTTAATTTAGGATAATTGAACTTATTCTTGTAACTCATTAAGGGTGAAATTTACCCCTGTGCAGCATCAGCACAAGACCTGAGCAGCACTTAACATTCCACTTAAATTTAATTTGAATTTAAGTGGTGTACAGGGTTTTTGCTGATCTTCACACAGGGAAGAATTAATGGATAGTTTGAGTGTTTTCATTCTGATAATTATCTGGAAATATTTCTGACATACAGAAAGTGCATGTATATCAGAAGGTTTTCTTTTAGAAACATCAGTGACGTGTTTTAGACAAACGTGTTTCCAAACAACAAATTTTATTTCTGTAAAGCAGAGCATGGTGCCCCAAAAAAGTGCTTTTGAATGAAGTGTGAATACATAAATGAAGATCCTGTTCTCTGTGACATAGTAATTTCTTTCTTTCCGAAAGGCTACCAAAGCTCACATCAAGCTCAACACTAAGAAGCTTTACCAGGCAGATGGCTATGCAGTGAAGGAACTGTTAAAGATCACCTCTGTGCTTTACAGTGCCATGAATACCAAAGGAATGGAGCACACAGAAGTGAATGAGGAAGACAGCAGCAAGTTCAAGTTTGATCTTGGCTCAAAAGTAAGGAAAATTTGGACTCTTTATTTTGGCTGGGGGGGGGGTTGTGCTAGCTTATGAAAAACAAATCTATTTTCTGTCTGAAACTTAAATAGAGAATGTCCTCACAAGGGAATTGCTATGACTTAATTGTATTTTTACCTCGAACCTTCTGCAGTTGAATTTGTGTACTCTGACTTGTTTAATCTCTGTGTCGTCTTGACCAGCAGCATAGTACAAAGCAACAATGGCATGATACTGGTCATCTTTGTTTCGGAGCGCTATTGAAATTGTGGAAATTGGAGTAGGCCAGAGGAGATAATATTTCCAACCTATTAACCTTATTTTAAGGAGGAAGCTTGCACAATACTGACTGAAATATGTTTTTCAACCAGTTTGCTTTGAAGGAAAAGGGAATCTTTGTATTGTCATAACAGACATCAAAGCTGTTCAGGCTCTTAAAATAAAATCCTTCTACAGCTATTACGAAAGAGTCTTAAATAAATTGAGTCCCTGTTACTGCTTGTTGTTAATTTGTTTGCACCTTTTCTACCTTTTGATATTTTTAGTCTGTGTTTCTTTTATAGCTATATTATCTCATATCTGTTTGTTAGGCAATAATATTACTTTTCTTGGAAAAAATGGCAGTACCACAAAGAGATTTTCCTATAAGAAGAATTTGTGTATGTTTGTGTAAAATATGTTGTGTCTCTTGAAAGAAAGTACTTGATTAAATCATGAAAAAACCACTTCTGGAGTATCAAAAAACATTACCTATGCAATGTGTTAGCCATTGGAATGTATGCTTTGTCCTTTTGCTCATGAAAACTAAGAAGTTTGCCTTAGGCAGTTGTTGATTGGTGTTACCCAGGGCAGAGGCAAAATGAAAGTTTTGAGGAGTTTTTCTGTTGGCCTGATGTGATTAGGGTTTCACCTAGGAGTAGATGGAGCCTACTCTAGGACATTAGTAAGATCAAGAGACGGGCTCACTTTGATTCAGTGGACAACTCCCTCAATGTTACAGCAGTGTTTCAGTGACTGTGCTGACCCCCTATGTCATTTTAACATCAAAATGGGGAAAATCTGTTTGGATTGTCTTTGTGTTGTCGGGGTTCTCTTCTGCTATTCAGTGCTGTTGCTGTGTTTCCAGGTTGCTGATCTGAAGGCAGCTAGACAGCTTGCTTCTGAAATCACCTCCAAAGGAGCAAGTTTGTATGACTTACTTGGCAAAGAAGTTGAACTAAGGGTAAGTACGCCCTGGAGAGTGTGTAAGATCTTGTGTTCACTGGATGCTGCAAAGGAATAAGGGGAAACAAGTATGAGTAGCTGTTTTTAATAGCTGTATCTAAAATGAAGATTTTGTGAGTTAAAGGAAGGGATTGGAAAGTTTGCCTTTCCTTCCCACCCGTATTAGTACTTGCATTGCAGTAAGTCTGAGAGGAGAACAGTTCAGCATTTTCCCTTCAGAAAGAAACTGAAATACTCTCTGTAAAATCATTTAGAAACATTAACGCTATATGTGTCCTTTAGCAGTGGGGATAGATATGTCCTAAAAGATAAATGGATGATTATGCATTTAGATAACTAAAAGCATAGGCTGTTTATTTCTGTTACAGTAGCTGAGGGCCTCATAGACCTGTAGGTACATATTGTTTAGCTGAGTTGTAAAATCACAAGCTATTGCATGAAATTGGAGAAGTGTGATTGAACGCTCGTATTTGCCAATAAGTCTTTCAATTATTTTCTTAAATACATTTATCTGTGGTGCCAGAGGTTACTTTTTTTTTTTTTTTTAAACTGATAACGGACATTAAACCCTGAATGTTCTAGCATTGTTCTTGGCAATCTTCAGATTTGCAATATCTGAGCTGTAGAAAGTGCACCCTGTAATTTACGAGTAGCAGACTGCATACCTTGATAGTTAATGCTCCCAGGTTCTTGTTTGAGTGTAAGTGTTTCAAAGGGTAGATGACGTTCAGAGAAGATTATCTGTGGAGCGTTGCCTTTTCTGCTTGATATGTTAGTCAGCACGTGAAGAATCATTGAGATAAGAGCTTCCATGCAACCACTTCTCATTGGGCCTGTTAAATAGGCGTCCATTGAAGATTTCTTAAAGTTGCAATTTCTAAAAGGGCAGGATTTATTATATCCTGTAGAGAGCATGTTTCTCATGGTATAATGACTGACTGCTAGCTAACCTAGTTAGGGCTAGCTAGCCTTGTATAGGTACGTACTTTATATTTTACGTGGGGGTTTGACAAAGTGAACTTGTTATCTTTAAGAAATCCAGTCTTGGGAAAGATGACCTTTGCTTCTGTCTCATTAGCTATGGGTTTATATCCTAAAGGCACAAGGTGACACTATGACAGCACAGTGAGAACTTCCAGAGAGCAGCAGAAGAGACTTTCATGGTCTGTTCCTGATGATTTGTTACTGGTTCCAGCCTCGGAGCGAAACTGAAGAACCCATTTCTGGCTCATGTGTTAAACACAAAGTTTGGTACATAGCGTGTGGCTAGTTTGAGACTTGTCCATTTGGCAACAAAGTTTTCTTGTTAAAAGCCATGAGGTTGCAAAAACTAATTTTTCAATTGACTTTGAGTTTTCTTTTTTTTAAATTATAAGCAACCTTTTTATTTTTTTATTTCATTGCTCTGTGCTTTCCTTTACAAAGATTACCACTGTGGTGTGGTTGCTGGATTTTTGTGGAGGCTGGGAGGGTTGTTTTTTGTTTTATTTTTTAAAAGTGACTCTGAATACTTGCGCTGCCTTTGAAAAAGAAAGGGACACAACTTAGTGGTAGCTATTTCCTTTTTAGAACTGAATCATGCCTGTGATTCGTCGGCTACTGCATATGGGAATGCAGTGGATATGGTCTTTCTGATTGCTGTGTCTTCATGACTCATTCTACTGAATGGATGTTGTAAAATGGGTAGTAGAAAAGCACTTTCACAGTGGCTGATTTTTAGTTGGGATCTCTTTATTTTACTTTTTAAGGAAAGTTTATTTAATCACTTAAAGAATATATGAACTGATAGCAAGGCTTGAAGAACATGATTTCCATTAGTAACAGGAAGTTTCTTTAATGAATACATAGCTGCTGCTGTTAATATTTGTGGTGTCTAAAACTGCCATTTTGTGAAAATATTTCTGAGCCACTCATTGGAAAAAGTGATCTAAAAACAAATCAAATTCCAAGTTTTTTGCAGACCATTTGTACTAGGAAGTAATCAAGGTGTTGGTCAATTTTATTGGCTTTGGCACTGTCATGCTGCTTGTTGCTCTGGGAAAAAGAGAGTGTATGGTAAACTTAGGACAGGATATTTGTTGAATGTAACCTGATATATTAGAAGACTTCATCCTTCTAGTTTTCCTGTGCAAATATTTTAAAATAATTAGGAGCTTATAGGAGTACCGAGCTCTGCCTTTCGCTTAAAATATGAAACCTGGTTATCTGATGAGGCTTAGGGCCAAATGCTTTGGGTCCTGTTCCCCCCCATTACTGTTAAATCTGATAAAGCCCAAGGAAGTCAGTGGCATTAAAATTCTTTGCAGTAGCCGATATTGAGGACAGTAAGGAACTGCTCCATTTCAGTTCACGCTGTCTTCCTGGGGTTCTTCATAGATGTTGTGCTCTTTAGGTTCGCAGGGATGTGATCCTGTGTTTGCTCTTCTCCATCCCATTCCAGGTGAGCAGAAATAGAAGAAAGAACTGTCATTAATTCTGGCTTTGCGTAGGGAATTAGAACTTTGTCTCTATATGTCAAATTAGTTGTCATTAATCTAAGGTTACTTTTATTATTTTTTAATTTGGAGATTATTGATTTCCATTGCTTATTTTCTTTGGGTGTTGCATGGCAAAGTAATTCACACAATAAATTGCGTTGGCAGAGGGATTGTGCTATGAAAGGGCAGGAGGAGAGCAATATGGTTTATTTGCTCATTATATTTTATGTCCTGAAACCTGCTGCATATATTAAAATGTATTGACAGCTGTGATGTTGTTTTAATGAGTTTTAAAACATGATAGTTCTATATTCTTTGCACTGCTGCACCTCTTATTTCCAATCCGTCCATTTCAAGGATTGCTGCCGAGGATATGTCTCACTTCTGTCCTGAATGAAGGATACTTTAATTTCCTATAACTGTAAAGGGAAATAACAGCATTTGGCCCTGATGGGTTGAATTGGTCTGTTTTCATTGTTTCCCTTCAGCAGCTTTTGGGGAAAGATCACTGCAGAAAAGTGAACTAAAGTTTTCATTCTTATTTCTTTGAGAAATATCGAGTCTAACTTGCGTCACAACCTCTACGTTCTTTATTGAAACTTTTTTTGCATGTATCTTGTGTAGAGATTGTGTCGAAAAGCCTATACCTAAGATAAATCTTAGTCATGGGATATTTTACTTTTTAATAAATTATTTTTTGAATGAAAACAAATTTCAGCTAGAGCAGAGCAGAATATATTGAACAAGGGAATGTTTCTAATAGGTGTATCATAGATACATATTGATATTAGTATGTCTGTGCACTTATTGGTTAGGACTTAAGCCTGTATGCATTTTCTTGGAAATGCAGTACTGTGACTTTCTGGCTCCTTTTAAATAGATCATTTCCAGGTTGAATATATGGTTCTAATATATACATAAACTACTTTCAACACAGATAATCTACAATGTAAAAAAAACCCTTCAATTTCAAAACGGTAGAGGAAGCAAAACCTGCAAGTATTTATTTGCTGAATTCAGACTATGATGCTGTTGGTTAAGATTTAGAGCAGGGGAGGGGGGAAACAAACCAAAAGCTATACTATTTTCATACAGCAAAAATCACATATGTCATTTTTAGTTTAAACAAGAAGTCAGATTTGATATTTAAAAACAAGAGTAAAGCATTTCCTGAAGCAGTAGAAAGCTGAAATGTGAAGAGAAACCGTTTGGTTCTAGCCTGCAGGTAGGTTAAAAAGATTTCCTTTCTCCCGACTGCTGTCCACAGATCCCATATCAATGGGATACCAGCTTGCACAGTGGGCTGTGGAGGGGGAGAAGTACGGGAGCTGCATATGAATTGTTATGGCTGTGCCACCCATAGGTGCTAGGTGCGAACTTGGTGCGGTTAACTGTGGGGAGCAATTCAATGCTAGGAAGAAAGAGCTGAAGAGCCTTATTTGATGAGAGAATCGTTGGAGTTGAATGTGGAATTGCACTGAAGTTGCTGGGATGTCTTTTTTTTTCTTTGTTTTCCTAGAACAACTGTAAATGAGCACAGCATAGGTTATTGGTGTCCTGTGGCAGTGCAATGTGCAAGAGACAATTTTTATTTCACAACCCACTTAACCCTTATGTTTTGCAAGGTGTTTTGCAGTTTGAAGTCTTGATGGTCTATGTCGTAAAACATAGAAATTGGAAAATAGGAATTCATGGAGTCTGAATATGCTGGTTCCTAACAATCTAATTGTTTCTCCATATGTAAAATCATTCTAATTTTGATATATGCATTAGGATTGTAGTGGACTTGATGAATGAATTTTGGCAGAATACAGTGAGATCCCCAGCTGAAAAGCAAATTCTATGCACAAAGGTGTGCGTGTGTTCACCTTCAGTGTTTCGTTGTGCTTCCAGTGGGACTTTCTCTGTATTGTATAACTATGTGGTCTTGATTTTCAGAGTACGTACTTCCAGTTTTGGATGATTAACTATACACCTTGAGTTTTCGCTTTCTTTAAGCTGTTTTCTAATTTTCTTTTCTTTGATGGGGAAGGGGGATTTGATTTGGATTTTTGGGTAGAGATGGGAAACTTTATTTGGGTTTTTTCTTTTTTCTTTTTTTTTTTCCCCCCTCTCTCTATATGCAGTATTTTTAGTATTTAGGATGATTAAAAATAGAAGTTGAAATTACCAGTGCTGCTATTAAGCCTGTTAAGCCCCTCCACCCAAAAAAATGCGTCAATGTAGCTAATGTTGGTAGTTACAGTCACTTTGGTAGTCATGTGTGGTGGCTGACTCTGGACTTGCACAGCTAACTGCTACAGTCTTGTAAACAGCCAAGAGATGTTAGAAAATCAGCAATCTGCTGTATTTGTGTAACAGCTGGTGATAGGTCATTTGTGGGGGAAATGGCAAGCTGGATGTTGTGGGGAGGAGGGAAATGATGAGGTGATCCAGAAAAATTAAATAGCTTGAAATAAAGCAGTAATGACTTTCAAGGTTGGCTGTGATCAGTTGAGGAAGGACGCTCCTGCATGACCAT